CAATAAGTTTCCATACTTTTGGGTTTACAACTTGTTGATGAGTTTGTCATTACACAGATTTCAGGAAGAGATGTTCCCATAACACTGTATGTCAAGTTTTATTTATTGCTCATTATGTTTCAGATAGGAAAGGAACATTCAGGCCTAAAGGCTGTGACTGAAATTCTACAAGATATCCAGTACAAGGTATGACATTCTTCAAAGGAAAAGGACATATCCATTCATTAACAGATAGACTAACTGGGTAGTATGGGGAGGGAAGGGTCAGTGCATACAGTAAGTAAGGGGGAAATGTCAATATTAAAATATGTATGGTGACTATATTTAAAATAGAGGAGCATGCATTCTCTCATCAAAAATATTAAAAGTTAACAGTGAATTATTTATTACAGTCAAAGACCAGCACCCAAATAGATACAACATTAGAAATGTTTACATACAAAACTATTACATAGATGATACTAAAAATAGCAAATTAAATCCATTAAATTAATACATAAATACATAAATATTAATTACATTAATATGCACAGAATCAAGCGACTTTATCCATAATCCAAGGCTCACAGTCCGAAAGGAGATGGGAAATGCATGATTCCTCTGATCTACCAGAGGATTTTTGGATGATAAGAGTTAACGAAACCATATATAAGATAACCATTTAAAAGGGCAATGCAGTAAAACATGCCCAGCAATTTCAGCTTCCCCACTTGCACAAGGACATATATGTTCCTGGTACAATACACCATGATACCTCCCTTCCAAAAATGCAGAGGATAGAACATCAAACCATGCCAAAATCAGGGGTCATTTCGTAGAAAAAGAGCTAGGGGAACTCATTAGCATAACTCATTTGCATATGCCACACCCCCTGACATCAGGGGCCCGGCGGTGGATTTGCAAGGCCAGCGGGAGTGCGAGGAAGCCCCGCCAAGGCCCTCCCTGGCCTCAGGCAGGCAGGGGTGGGGTGAGGCGGGGAGGAAGCAACTTACCCTCCCTCTTCTCCTGCCTCCTCCTGGCTGAATGAGGGCTGGAAGCAGGGTGGCTGGAAGCAGGGGGTGGGGCTTCATCATGTGCCCCACCCCATTGCACCTCACCCGGGGGAACTGCGTTCCCCCGCGTTCCCCCCCGAAATGACCTCTGGCCAAAATAATAATTTTAAAACTTCCCTGTTTCTGGGAATTAGTAAATTAGCCAGATAGTCAGATGGCACAAACTTCTTGTCTCTGAAAAGATACTTTGTAGCAATGCTTAAATGCTATTATAACTCAGTACTCCAAATCCTTTGTTTAGTGATACATTTAGCTTTGGAGTAACCAAGGGTTATTAAACTACTAGGAGAATACCCCAAAATCAATAATTTCTCTGAAAGGGGCCTTTTGCATTTTGACTAAAAGTTATCCATTAGTGTCAAAGGTGCAAGTCCCATAGGAGAAAAGGCCATTTTTAGTGAGTAATTATTCCTGTGTGTTCAGATATGGACTTCAAGAGAAATTAAGTCTGCCTCAAGATGCGTGGCCATATTGGAAACACAGTGGAATGTTGACAGTCACTAATCCAACAATCTATCAAACTCAGCATACATAATAAAAACATACAGTACCAAACCAGAATTACCAGCTCTCAGTAAAACCATGGTTTCAGGTAAATCCTACAGTGTCTTGTTACATGGTGGATGTCACTTCCAGTTACTGGCCAAAAATTACATCATGACATTGTGGGACACTTCTCCCACACCTGCATTTCCCCCTGCTGATTGCCAGAATGAGAGTGGGGAAGGGGTTTGAGGCAGGAGTTCCCCCATCCCTACTGGGTATATGACAAGCCTGGTACCAATTTCATTCCATGCACACTAGTTTAAAATGAACATGAATTCTTGGCTAACTTATGCTATATTTTCAAACAGTTTGAAACATACAGTGACTTGGAAATGCAAGTGGAGTTCTGCTTGTGCAGCAGGATTCCCCCCCCCTCCTTGATCCTGTATTAGGCTTTGTGTCCATCTTAAAGCCACTCCTAAAGGTTGAAGGACCCCCTACAATGGTGTGGGACAGATGTCGCTTGCTGCATGCTGTAGCTACAGGGGAGAATGTTAGAATCTAGAGGACCTCCCTTTGCATGAGCAGAAGTGCCTTCAATAGCGGCAACACCAGTTCAGCAATGCTGTGAAAACTCTCTCTCTCTCTCGTCTATCTATATTTTACACACACACACACACACATTAAATCATTTCTTACCATCCATTCAATTATGAAACAACAAAAACCGGAATTAAAAATCAATGGGTAGCAAGCTTTTTTCTAATGTACTCAGTTGCAAACCTTTTGTTCTTAGTAACTCCAGAAATTAATTGCAAGTCCAAGTAAAAAGGTATTTAGAGAACAATCGAGACCTGTTTGGACTTTGGCAAATGTATTCTGGAACTGAGTTTCTTAACCGTAAGGGTACCATGAAAAATGTCTCTCTATAAATTCTGGAAGCATAGGCTCATTGTATAAATGAAATAGAGTGGAGGAGTCTTGCTTTTCTAACTGATTTGTGCAATGATGATAAATTCACTATATTGCCCCTGAATAGTGGTAAGGCATAGAAGAAGAAAGTATTATCTGATTTATAGTGTGCTCACACTATAGTGTGCTCACCCTTGCACATTTACTTGAATTCAGTGGAACTTACTTCTGAATAAACATGCATATAATTGTGCTTCTCAATACAATCTCAGGTGAAAATCTGAGGGTCTTTTTACATGATACATGAAATGCAAGTCAGGTTGGGTCTTCATGGAAGTCACCTTAAAAACAGTTGGGAGGGGCCAGATCAACTCCTGAGCATGGCCTGGCAGTAGATGAGGCTTCAGCCTTCCCTCCCATCCATCCCATGCTGCTTACATATGAAAATAAAATAGCAGTGGGGGTGGGCATTAGTGCTGGTTCCATGTGTCCTACTCTGGAGCTGATCCCCCCCCCTTCCCCTTTTTAAGGTCAGATGTGAAGAGCAAGTCAGGTTGGGGGAATCTCTAACTCAATTCACATTTTACATATTGTGTAAGGAAACCCTCATATTCAGGACTCTACTTGTGTTGCTTACTATGTAGATGGGAGTATGTATGCATCTAAATGTTGCAGAAAACAACTCTTTGAGTCCGATCAGACGGCTCTTTAGATCTGCTCAAGGCACGATTGCCACACGGATCTAAAGGTAATGTCCAGACACAAACATCTGGGAAATGTCCTTCTTCCGTGGATATCCCATTTTGCCACGCTTCGGAGCTGTACTTAAAAGATCGCACTTTAAATCTGGGGTTTTCGGTTACCTGCGGGACAACTGCGGACTTTCGCCCATCTGTTCATTCCACCAGCACGCAATCCTCCCGTCGGGGTGGTTTGATGTCAGACCATCCTGAGTGGGCGCCATTTTAAAAAATCTCTACACATGCGTGGATCAACAAGGATGTGCTGTCATGTCTATGTGCATGCACAACATTTCTTTTAAAAACCACCATGTGCCTCCTTCAACAAGGACGCACTGTGATGCCTATGCGCATGCGCAAAAAGTTTTTTAAAACCCCACAGCGCATGCCTCCTTCAGTGGATGCCATCTAGACAATCCACAATGGAGGCAGCGCATGGGAAGGCGATTCACCAGGGGGATGTCTGGTTGTGCTACCATGGATTAAAAAGATTGGGACAAAATTCAAGTTGGCATAATGACGGGATTAGCTGCCTGTCTGAATGCACCCTTTGACAAGTTTACCAAAGTTCTGGATAAAACATTGCACATAGCACTTTGCTTTCTACTACTACTTACACAAATGCAATTAATTGGGAGATATAAAGGGGGATACATATGAAAAAATGAGAAAAAAACCTATTAAAGTTCAATAAGGATGTTGATTTGACATGAGAAATGTAAGGATGATTTCTGAGAGATTATCTTGAGGTAATAAGATTTATTATTTTGATTATTTCCATTGTTGGGATTTTTTTTTGTAAAGGGTCGCTCTTTGCATGCATTATTGTTGTACATTATAGAGTAGATCCATGAATTGTAAAACTCATAAATTGCTACTGATTCCTGTTAGAGACAAGACTGATTTTTGTTAATTTTTCAGGGGAAGAGCAAGACAATACCCTGTTTTAATCCCAATACATTATTGCCAGGTAAGTGTTCCTTCATATACTTTGCACAGAAATATATATATGTATAGTTAACTTTTATTGCTATCATACACCACTCAAATGCTTTCTGTCATCTTCTAAATTGTTTGGCAGCCTCTCTTTTTATAGAGCAGTTTTAATTTAATTGGATTACCAGAAAAGATATCTCTGAACATGATGTATCCCACTACAACAGCAGTGATGATGAATGTTGTCTGTCAGCACAATACATATTGAGTATCTACCAGGTAACATTTGTGTTCCTTACAGTGATGAGTCATAGGTTTCAAAATAGCTGTCTCTGTGCATTGCAGTGATGTGTAGCTCAAATAGGATCCAAGCAGGTGACATTCCCACTGACAGCAATAGCCTACAACTTTGGTGCAGTTAATTTACCTAGCATTTTTACTATGTGAAATGTTTTAGAACAGTTTGTCTAAGAGTGCTATTACACCCAGGAAATACATGATTGCATTGACGTGAATTGCCCAGGCTAGCCCAATATCTGCCCTTGGAAGCTAGGCAGGGGCAGCCATGGTCAGTACATGGATGGGAGATCACCAAAGAAGTCCAGGGTTGCTATGCAGAGGCCGGCAAAGGCAAAACACCTCTATTTGTCTTGAAAACCCTACAGGTTCACCATAAGTCAGCTGCAACTTGACATCACTTTTCATCACAATACATAATTGCCTGAGGTTGCTTTGCATGAGTAAATCAGTGCCTAGAAAGGAACTGGGGAATTCCATGAACTTGACACCACTTGCACGCTCAAAGGGGCATATACATGTATACATGTAAAAGCTGCAGATTTGTCTGAATGTTGCAATCTGTCAGAAACAAAAAAAGAGGAAAGTTTGAAGAAACACACCAAAAGGGATAATAACTTCAAATTGACTGAATATATTTGGCTGACATATGAACATGAACTTCTTCATTTGTCAATAATAAAGCATCAAACAATTGACATGATCTGCATGGGGCAGTAGGGCAAGTCCTATCAGTTTCAATTAGAGGTGTGTGGGTGAATTGCCTTTTGGATTATGCCAAAGTAAATCAATTTCTGCACATGACTGGATAATGACCAAATCATAATAAATGTCACACATAGTAGAATCTATATTCTGTTCTTTGACTTTCATTTTGGGCCAAATCATGTACAACCTAAAGTGTGGGATCTTCCATGGGTTAAAAAAAGTTTGGGTGCTTTGAATATTAGGGAATTTTGACTGGGTTAAAGGGTGTTTTAACACTTTCTTCTTGTATGTTTTCCTTAATTCCAAATGTCCTTCGAAATATGCAATTGGCCTTCTAACTGGGGAGAAAGAAACTTGCAGTTCTCATTCAATGACCCTTCCCAATTTTCAAAGTATCCACTATCAGTATAGTCCTAAACTGATACACCCTTCTAAGTCCATTGAAGTAATTGTGAGGCTGTTAGTTTTTTTTTCAAAATTGTAGACGTTTATGGATTGTCTTGTCTGGTTTGTTCCTTTCTCATTGCACAATGCTGAGAAGGTAACATTTTTGCCTATTTAATTTCTGGGGGGAAAAGAGTGAAACAATGCTTGACAACCATATTAGAGTATCAAGGTATGGTCTAGAAGATCCACAACACAAAGAGGGTGGGGTTTGGAAGGCATGCATGCACAAAGGATTTTGGAGGCTGGGTACTCAGTGCCATCAAAGCCTGTGTGCATTCCCAGAGGACAGCCCCAGTTTGCTAGATCATGGCTATGCTAGGCACATTCATGTGCAGTATGCCATGGGACAGCAGTAGCGTTGAGAGGTGCAGACTGCACAAAGGATCTCAACAATTTGTTTGGAGCCAGCTGTGCTGAGAAAGGACCTTACTTTGAGATTGTACAGGAAGAACCAGATGCTGATATAGACATACAGAGGAAAGCTGGGGCTTTTGTTGGATGGGGGAGTCGATACCAGAGAAAGGTGCAACTCTTAATAGACCCTTCCTGGGTACAGCATTCACATGCTATTTGCTGCCATCTGATGGTCAGTATGTCAGCTGGGATGTGACTTGTTGATGAAACACCCCTAGAAAAGGTTAGAGTGCCCTTATAATGGGTTTCCCCCTCCTAGGGGAGGACTGGGAAGCAAAAAATGGCCACGAATATGGCCCTGCCCACTGGTCCACCCCAACCTTGCCTCCCAGTGGAGTGGAGAAAGGAAGAAGAGAGGCCACTGCTGAGTTGGCTCATCCTTTCACCCAGCAGTGGTTGCCATTCCCACCCACTGCCTTTGAGAAGGTGCTCCATGTAAGGCAAGGACAGAGAGTGAAAAGTCACCTGAGAACCACTACTCCAGCCTGAGGCAGTTCCAGGCATCTGTCATTTCTTCCTTTCCTGCATGTCTCCAGCTGAGGAGTCTCCTCACTGCTCACTTGCTTTGCCCACCTCACGTTTTACTCAAGAGCAGTAGTACCTCCCTGTTTACCTCAGCCCACATGCAGCTCGGTGGAAGATGGCTGCCCATTTACTCACTGAAATGGCAAGAGTAGTTGACTACAACATGCAAAATTGCTCTTCCTCCCCTCTCAGGCTATCAAATTGCGGCAGCAGCTGCTACCACTAGCCACATGCAGGGTTTGGGCTGCTGACTCATGGCCATGGCAGCTGCTCCTACAAGCCCTGCACTACAGGCTCCTGACAACAGCAGCTCCTGCCTACTTTGTGTAGGGTGAGGACTGCTCCTCACTTGGGGCTGGTGTGGCCCCAGTGTGTGTGAGGGAGGGTGATCTCAGATATGGCCCCAGCAAGGTTGGCAGCTATTGGATCCCCAGGACTTTGCCCAGTGCCCTTAATACCAATCTGCTCATGCCCCCTCTGTGGCTTCCACATGCACTGTGGAAAGACAGTGCGTGATTCCATGGTCAGTTTTTAGAATAAAAGGCATACTAAGGGTTTCTTAATTACTGTTTCCAAACAAAGTCATCCATTTAATTCCAGATCCACTGTTACGAGATTATTGGGTGTACGAAGGCTCTCTTACAGTTCCGCCCTGCAGTGAAGGTGTGACATGGATATTATTTAGATATCCTTTGACTGTATCTCAGCTTCAGGTAATGACTGTTCTTAGAGTATGTTTCTCAGTGAAAGGTTATAGCGTGCAAATATACAGCAGGGCATTATAGTTGTTTCATCTTGAAGATCTCATTAGATCAGTCAGTACATGGCTTTTAAAGTAAAGGTCAAATCTTTTGTGTCACTGAAAGAAATGGAAAGGTCAGAAATAAAAATACCCTGTTATCATTTATTCTATGCATTTTTTAAAAAAACCATTTACCGTAGCAAAAGAAAGAAGAAAAAATGAATCCAGCCTGTTGTAATAGTGTGCCTTCAAGTAATCACTGCTAGATGCTGACTGAACAAAAACACAAAACTTAATGTTCTGAACAGGGAAGAATATTGTTGCTCCAGGTTAACTGCATTATACTGAATTATTCTTGACATCAGTAGCTTTCCTTGATTTAATGAACACTTGCATCTAACATTTACCTCCAAATATAAGTTTAGTTTAATTAAAATAAGATTCTAACAACAGTATGTAACTCTGTCTCTTTTCACATCGATCATAATAGCTAATGGTAGTAGATGGGAGCTGGTTCACAAATACATATTAATTGGTACATTTCTCTCCACTATTTCATTAGCAGCTAGCTCTATACAGGGAAGAAATTACAAAGCACTGCATTTGTGATGATATAAACATTCTGGCTTTATATGGCCCCTTCACATATGCAAACCATTCCACATGGTCCCCATACCCCCCCCCCCCCCAACTAGCTGGTCAGCCAGACAGCAGTTGAATGTACCGTAGTCTGAAATGTAGCTCAAGGCTCTGAAAAATCTCCCTCTTAGTTCAAAAAACCTATCTGGCCACCGGAGGATAATGAGATCATACAGTACTGACTTTTGCTGCTTGTTATATCATATGGTTAATTTTTGTTGCTATTTTTGTTTTCCTCCAAATGCTTTCAGCTTTAATACTTTTGATAATTTTTTTCTTCTCTTTCCACATTACCTGTGTTTTGGTGGATATATGCTTTTCTAGTTTCATTCATTTTTTAGCATTCCCTTTGTGCTTTTTTTTTTACTGTCCTTCCTTTGGAGCTTTGCATGGGATATCTTCTATCTTTATTTTCTTCCTCTTTGTCAAATTATTCATGCCTTAAATATTGCCATTTTTACATTGATGGCTGAATATCCTGCTTTCTTTTCCTATATTATCTTTATTTTGTTTCTGTAATACTTTTTCTTGCCTTGTTGCTATTTATGTTTTTCTGTTATCTTAAGCTTATGTGAATTGAGTGATTGGTTTGCTCTCCTTATTCTGTATCTGTACTGTCTTTACTTTCTCTCTGCCTAGGTAATTCCTCTTTCTCTTCAGATATCAAGCTGTGGTGTCCTCAGAGTAGTCTCTTCTGTTTATATTTAAGGCATTGCATAACCTGACATTTCCATTTTTTAAATATTGCTTAGATCTATTTGTTTCAGTCTTTTTCTCCTGTAAAGATATTGGTTTATTCTCTTATCCTTTTCCAGTTTAATGACTGTAATTTTCTGCTCCTCTGATGCCTTTGTCAGTTTCAAATTCTATCCTTCATTTTCTGACTGTTCTGCTGATTTGTTTTCTCTGTCTTGTTTTGCTCACATTTCTCCTTTGTTATTTGCTTTCCACCAACTTCCATTTGTTCCTGCAGTGGAGACCAGATGGAAAAAAGGGGGAAGGAACAAAGGGGAAAGGAACAAGAACCAAAAGATTGGAGTCAAAATGGCCACAATCCTTACAACTGTTTAATCAGCATTTTAAAATGGACTTCTTCTTTTAGCCTTTTTCCTTCTACAGCTCTCTTTCCAAGCCCTCTGCTGAGGACATTTCTTGTTTAATAGCCATTTTGTAACGAGCCTAGCTGTTCACAGGGCCGGCCCCAGGTATTTTTGCACACTAGGCGAGGTCACCTTCTGGTGCCCCCCGTGTGCCCCCCATTTCTGGTGCCCCCCTTGCGCCCCTGCATCCGCCTGGGTCCGTCCCTCCCTTCCAGCAGCCCCGCTTAGGTGCCTTTTTCAGAGGTCAGCCCCAAGGAGACCCACCCACAAGGTCACCGCCAGAGAGGTCACCGCCAGAGACCCACCCGCAAGGGACGCCCCCTGGTCCCAGTGCCTGCCCGGGCTCATGAGCTTTCCAGCCAGGCTGGCAGCCACCTGCACCGGCTGGCTGAAGCACCTTGCCAGCCACCCAGTGGGCCCCTGAAGCCTGGCCATGCTCACCTTGGCCACTGCCACTACGCAGGAGAGGAGCCTCCTCCACCACCTCCACTGCCAGGCCCCGCTCCCGGGCCGGCCTCTGAGCATGCATAGAGGTGGGCATCCACGGGCCATGCAGCTTGGCCGGGGCATGGAGAGGCAGGGCTGGAGGGGGACAGAGGCTTCCTGGGGTGCGGGGGGAGGCATGGGAAGGGTTAAAAGCTGAGCAGAAACTTTGCTGCCCCTGCCTGGCTCTCCCTCCCCCCACCCCCTTCCCCCGGCTTCTCCTCGCCCTTGGGATGGAAGCAGAGGCCGGCTGGCACGACGAGGGATACCAGGCTGCAGGTGCCTGCAGAAAAGCTTCCCCTTGCTCGAAAGCTGGCTTGCCCCAGCCCGTTGTCCCCACCAGACAGTCAGGATTCGCACCCCCTGCCTGGCTGCTGCTGCTTCCCACAAAGGCCAGCCCGGGGCAGTACGGAGAAACCCGGACTGCTGCCCAGCCAGGGCTGAGGACTCCGCCAGCCGCCTCTCTGCCACAATGCCGAGCCCGGATGCCTTTCCAGGGAGGGAGGGAGGAAGCACACTGGGGCTGCCTGCCTGGGGGAACGCCGGCACTCCCAGCTCCAGCAGCAGCAGTGTGAGAGTTGAGAGCAGGGCTTTTGGTGGGGAGGGGTGAGAAAGAGGCAGCAGCACCTGGGGTCAGGGGGTGACACAGCATGCAGGGCTTTTGGTGGGGGCGGGAGGCTTTTGGTGGGGGGGCAGGGGCAGTTTGGCGCCCTAAGGGCCTGCCTGCCCTAGGCGAACGCCTAGTTTGCCTAGTGAGTGAACCGGCCCTGGCTGTTCAGATACTTTATAAATAATAATCATTATTATGATCATTGTGATCAATGTCAGTATTTTTTTTACTTCTGTTGTAGCATGAATCCAAATCAGCTTGTAGAATTCCAGGTTTTTTCTGGCAGGAAGATGCATGTTAAGCTTTCTTTTGCTCATGACTATATATTTTTTAGAAAAATATATTGTGATAGCAAAATAAATCTAACCTATCATGACTAATATGACATAATAAAACTTGTGTGTTTTGAGATGAAGCTCTTGCAGTGTAATCAACGCATCCCAAAGATGTGCTGCTGCTGTACCAGGGCCAGCCACCAGTGCAGCGACCCCACAGACCTCCACACACTCCACAAGCACAACTCTATGAGCCAGTGGGGAAATAGGCAGACCCAGGGGCATGGCACAAGTTAGTTGGCTCCCTAAGCCACCCCTGGCCTGGGAACTAGCATAAAGTTGCACCAGCAAAACCCTCAGTATAGACACCCAAGCAGCAGAAAAGGCAAAATGTCCCTCCCTAGTGCAATCCCACCTAAAAGCCTCACTGTAGCGCAGGATATTGACTATGGTCACAGCAAATCACACCCTACCCAGTAGCAGCAAAACCCCTACCTCCCACCCAATCACAAGCCTACAGAACTACATAAACCTGAGCCAGGTTTAGCCCAGATGATAAGGCAAGCAGCATGGGATGTTATCTCCAGCTTGCACAGTTAGAGCACCCAGTGGTTCATCCTGGCAGTGAGAAACTTACAGAGAGGACACTTAGTTCCAGAGAGGAGGCACTTAGCACTTACACACAAGGGAGGGAGGCAACCTCCTTGCTGTGTGACTAAGTTGTCTCATTTCAGAACCCTTACAGGTATCCTATCTCTGGACACACACACCGAAGCAGAAGCCAAGTACTGACAGGTAAGCAGGGGCAGGGATCCAGCAGGCTGGGTCCAGGAGTCTGTGCCCCCCCTCCCCCTCACATGCACCCTGGGCGCTGCCTCAACAATGCAAACTCCTGTAGTCAAGGCTAGCAATGTGTGTGTTTGTGTGTATAGGAGCAACCCAAGGCAGCTGTTTCCAACTTTATGCCTCATGTCATGTGATGTAGCTAGGAGTGCTAGCTATGATGCCAGGGGCAGGGGTGGCAGAGAGGGGGGCTGACAGTCCCATGCCAGGGTGTCTCCTTCTCCCCAGGTGGGGTACTGGGAGAAACTGGAGTTTGGGGCATTACTGGCAACTGCCACATTATGCCCTGTGGACCAGATGGCCAAACAACCGTGGCATCTTGCCTTGCAGGTTTGGAGCTCTATGCAGCAGCAGCAGCAGACGGAGTAGATACAGCTGAGATGGAACCCACACAGCAGATGAGTAAATGTCATTTGGATGGCTATGGTATAATGGGATAATGTGCTCTTATATATAGTTAAAGAAACTGGACCAATTCGTCCTCTAAGGATTGTTCTTTAAACTATTTGGCTCCAGATTTATCTGGGATATATTGGATAAGGTTGATTGGAAGCCTTAATTTTGATTGTACAAATGAATTGATTGTGGGTTCTGTTCTTGGAGCTCTTGCCATCAAACTAGGCAGAAAACTTTCAGAGAATTAACTATCTTTATTTGAAAAAAGAAACAGTTCTCTTTATTAGACAAAGTGCTAGAAGATACAAATGTGAAAATTAACCCTATAGCAGCTGCAAAAACAAGTGCCAGTAAAATCAAATCTTCTAGTTTTTTTCCAACCATATTTGAATAAGTAAAATTTAAAGCAAACCAGATTTCAGATTTTTAGGAATTTTTATATAAATCCAAGTCACACATACAAACAGAAGTCTCATCTAATATTTTCTGAGAGTTCTATCCAGAGAAATCTGACTTGCTTATCACATCAGTGCACCAATGTGTTTATATAGAAAAATAGCAATATTACCGTAGTAGGAAAAAGGCCCATTGTGGAAATAAATACAACGGCCTCTAGAAAGAGGTT